TAATTTTAAATTCAAATTTTATATTAAAGCTTATCTTTTAATTAAGATAGCAGGATATATATTTACAGAATCTCAGATATATTTTTATCATATTTGATAAAATGTTATAAAATATTCATACATGAATATAATTTGCAGTTTTGTTAGAATCAAAAGCATTTAATCAAATGGTACATGGTATTTTAATTTAATCATGATATTTTAATTTCTTCATGCATCTTACGCCAATAATTCAGTATAATCAACATCCAGGGGACTGTGTGAATGAAAATGTGTAAAGTTATCTCTTTTATTTACTAGACATTAACAATTTATTATCGCTAAAAATAAGTTCTTCCAATGGATTAACTTTACATATATATCCATTTAATGTTGTTTTTACATACTTTTATATTTCTGAATCAAATATCTTTTCAAAATTTAACAGAATTAAATCATACACATTTTATCTCAATACAGTATAAACAGAAAATTCCTTTATCATATCATTTACATTACCATACATGTATTAGTTTACAATTTGGCTAAAAATTAAGGGAATCAAAATTTTGAATTTCCATTATTAATTGGCATAATTTTCCAGTCACTTGTTCATTAAGGACTGTTACACTGTTTTTATGAATTAAAAAAAAATTTCTTACACCAACTTCTCCCCCTTGTACGAACATACAGCTTTTCCAATTACCTCCCTTGTACCAGTTTTAATATAAATTAAAGTGGTTATATTTACCTCCCCCTGTATGAGTACATGGGTTTGATGAGGAATATTCCAGACTCCTGTTCTATTGAGTCTAATGTCTCCATTAACAGATTGGCAAGACGAAGTCGCTCTGATCCCATACCATCCATCTTGTCTGCCCACCGCTTAGCTCTCTGTAGAAATACGATTGGTCAAGTCAATCACTGAGCGCACTTATCAAGTTACAGTCAAACTTGCATTGATTCTTTTGAAAATTTAATGTCATATGCAAAAATTATATTTTGAAATTAAGTGGGTTAAGATATGGCTTTTCATGCAACATTTACCGATACCTACCTTATTTTGCAGACCTTCCATTTTGTCCAAAATTTCGAAAACATTTTCATCCAAACTTTTACTCTGTTTGACATGTTCTGAAAAAACAAAAACATTTTTATCTTAGCAGATTGTGCAATATTTATCAATATCTTATTTTTGGAATCTACATGGTCTTTTTTTATCCACTGTAGGATTCCTTATAGCAAATCTCGCATATATTTCTGAGCCTAAACTGACTGCTGGTGACTTCTGTTTTTCACATTGGTTAACTCTTACCAATTTGAAAGTTAAGATTATACTGTAAACGTATTACATTTGGCTGTGTATTCTTTTTAGCGGCTTTGGCGGATCGTAGCAACCGCTAAATCAAGTACATAGCTAAATGTCTTTCACGTATACACATAAATAATAGGAATATGAAGAAATGCGCTAAATCAAATCTACGCTAACTTATTCAAAAGTCAATTTCCACCAAATATCGTACACGCTAAATATAATACATTTACAGTATCTGAACACTTTTTAGTGATGATCCCTCATGAATAAAAAAAAATAAGATCCTCTTTACTTTCACTTTTTCTGATCAGGGATCATCTGTACTTTCACTTAAGCTTAACTGATTTTGGAGACATGACATTTTACCTTCAATCTCCTTCATCCTGCTGTGATGGACGTACTTCCTGACAAGGTGACCCAGTCTTTTGGCTGGAAGACTCACATACTCATCCATAGTCGTTACAGCATCCTATAAAATAAACATAATTGATGTCATATGTCATACATTTCAAAAATGTACAAGTCTACTGTAACTAACCAACTATGATCTGATGTCACTGCTTGCAACTTTCTCTTTACGCAAAGGATGGAAACTCTTAAAATGCCGTGTGCTCCCAGTAAAACAAGATCTTAAATATTCATTTTAATATGTCAACCCTTTGTTTGTACATTGAAACAAATATATACATTTGTCAAGAAGCAAATAACTTTGCTATAAGTGTGTTTGACTGTATTAGATCTATGATATTACCTTGTACTTATTGACATCCAGTTTCTCATCATTAACTGCCCGCTTCATGATTTTGGCATTCCTCTCAGAGTCTAGTCTGGTAAACATAATGGCTGACTCTGGTGGAGCCTGAAAATTATTGATAATAGTATTAAAGTAGATTGAGCTGTACTATAGTAATTTAAATGTAATTAAAGATATTAAATACTGTAGAAATACTCTTTTCCCTATTAGGGCTTCATGATAAATATGCTGGCGTGAAGCCTTGTAGTTCATGTACCTCATGAATGTTTAAAAATTTAATTCATTTCTTATATTTCAGGATTTTTTCCTCTTATCTGATGAAAATATTTCCAGTATAACTGATTTGATACTAAAATTCTTATAAGAGAGAACAACAGATAAAATACATACCTGCTGAACTCCTTCAGATGGCGGCCTCTCCTGGCCAGATGCTCTACCAAGGGCATTTAACTCTCGCTGTAACTCGTTAATAGTGTCCTGCATCTCCATCATAACCACAGTGTTATGTCTAAGGAAATAATATAAAATATTATCATTCATTAATACTGCACTTTGTTTACGAAGTGTAATAAATCTCAAATTTTTATAACATTCTTATTGAAAATTATGATTTTTGGTGCAATACTTAAAATCAAAAGTTAAAAAAAAATATTTGCCTGCCCTCCCTGAACTCAGCATGGAAAAAATGGGTTGGTCGGTAGGGAGGAAATTCTTTAATTCCAAAAAACTTGCAAATGAGATGATGTCCCTTTATAGAGGATTATCCAACCATAAACCTTTGTTCTGATTCATTTTTTTGATCGTTATGGCTTGTCCCTGCCTGTAATTTATTTTAGTTGTAATATAATCATATTTACCTCATTTGTTCTTCATGTTTCTTTGACTCCTCATTCAATTGCAATTGCCTGAAAAATAAAAAAGTATGGTTTCACAAAATTTATATATATCAAAACATCTTGAAAGTAAAGGAAAATATATATTAAGGCTTTATGTGAAATGCTTGAAAATGCTATTCTCTTGCGTCAAAAACCTAAATTTCATGTGTCAATTTTAAAACAGCAAATATTCCCTTTTTCTTGCCACCCCTGAAAACTTACAATCTTTCATAGTTTTGTTGTAACTAACACATTTAATATACAATCACCTGACAAAATAAGGATCCACCCCCTGAAAACTTACAATCTTTCATAGTTTTGTTGTAGCTCCTTGAAGGCCTCCTTCTCAGATGAGGCACTTTGGGGGAACCTGGTGGACAGGGAGTGATTGCTCCCCCTAGTGACAGTCTGACCACGCCCAGAGTCTGCAGATCTCTCCCGCTGCTGGATTGAGTTACGAGTTTGGTCACGAGACACCATCATTCCGTTGAGTGATGACACTAACGGCTCACGCTCGATGTACAACATACTGCTGAGTACACTCATTATCTCCTCTAGAGCTGTAAAATAGGAAGACTCTTATTAATGCATTGCAAAACTAGAAACAGCAATTTTTACCATGAATTTGACAAAAAGTCTGAATTTAATCATTGCATCTAGTAAAAAATTTTGAAATAAAGGCACATAAAGACATTGTAAGCTCCTGTGCTTTGTAAATCAACAGCAACATACCTCTTAAAGTCTATACATTTTTGACTTCTCATTTTTAATATTTTAAAATGAAACAACAGTACATGTCATAAATGAATGAAATTATTGCAGGGGTTTGCCTCATGATACGTAGGATCTACCACTTTATAGTGCTATACTTACTATAGTAGACATTTTTAGTCATGTTCTCCAGTTGGGGCTGTACTTTGCCCTCCATGTCAAACTTCACTGAGTCCAATTCCTGCAACAGCTCACTGGCCTGGAGGAACTCTAAAAATAATAATGTGAAAGTTGAAGTTAACAGTGATTGACCTAAAAAAAAAATATAAGAATACAAATCTGGAAAGAGGGCATAAAACGGACCCCCACAAATTGAGGTGGGATCAGGTGCCAAGGAGGAGTGAGCATCTCCTCTCTGTGCACCTGACAATGATAGCTTCACTTTTAAGAAAATGAAAGGGTGGGGGATGCAGAGGAAATTTTCTATTAAAATCAAAATAGTTACCAGCATTCCCCCTAAATGGGTAACTACTTATCACAGAATAAGTTTTTGGTGACAGTTTGATCTGATGTTACCCCTACCTCTGTCCTGCATGACTCTGGACAAGTTCTCCTTAAAGATAACGATGCCCTCGTATGCCTTGAGGTACTCCCCCACGACTGGGTGTTCTGCTAACTTCTTGGACATCGCGGTGCTCTGGCGACGAGCGTCAGGGGGAGGGGAGGTACCCCTATCCTCCATCTCAATCTCCTCTGTTAAAAATCAAAGCAAATTTTTTTATTTTTTTTATCGTAATGCTTTACACAAATAATGCTTGTTCAGTCTTAAGAAATCTTTCCATAAGAAACAGAAGCAAGTGACAAATATGCATCACTGTAAACTGAAGTTTTTTTTTTACTTTGCTTTGATCTGTATGTTACTGGTGTTCTCAAGTGAAAGCAAAACCTGTACAGATTTGATTTTGCCAAAGACTACACAATGCCACATTTATACAATCACATGCTTGATATTTTCAACAATTTTTCTACACACTGTATTATTAATATCCATATATTTTAAAACATCTGTGAAAATTCAAATGTCTTCAGATCAGTTTAATATTTTTTCCAATGCAAAGAAATTCACCTTTAATTTCATCTGGAATGGGGAAGTCGTCGTCCTCCACTAGCTGGTCTTCTATAGACCTCTGTGAGGGTACGGAGATAGCTGGGGACTTAGAGCGACGTTCCTCCGCGGCTAGTCGCGATTCCTCTAGACGATTCCTAAACTGGTTCCTCAGTGAAGCGCGACTCTGGGAGGAACTCAAACGAATCTCGTCCTCTGTCAATTCTGCACCAAGTTCTGGGTCAGTCTGGGTCTGTTAAATGTTTGAAAAGTACAGTGTAATTAATTAAGAAAATTGATTTTTCTAAGGACTGTTAATCCTAAATGACAATAATAAGAATGTAAAAATGATAACATTCCTCATAATACCTTTATAATCATACTAAGAACGTGCACTATATTTATTAGGATTTTTGTTAATTAAAATTATTTTAAGTAGAAAAAGATAATTTCCTAAACTTCCACTAGTTTCATTTCTCAATAAAAAATTTTCAGGAGTCAAGAACTTTAAACTTATTTTGTTTCATTGAAAACCAACTCAAAGTCACACATATGCTTACACAATCCAGTTAGAAAAAAAATACAACCAAACAATAGCAAAAGATTAAAACAAAAAAATAAACACAAAACATGTTAAATTACACACAAATTCATATAATACAACACTGAAAAGAAAATCTGCATTCATTTTGCTTATCCCTGAAAACAAAAAAATTAGAGTGGACTGAAACATTAAGGAAGCGTGGACTCATTCAATGTGGGACACGGTCACTGAACAGATTTTGTGTAAGCATTTCAAAGGGAACATATCAATAGAAACATGTGATGATTAAGTCAAAAACATAATACAACCCAGGAAGTCAGCAATTTGTTAGATGAATCTGAGATCGATATTATGGACATTTGTGAAGGTGTCATGTGATAGTAACAACTTATGGTGCCATGTTACGTTTCCATAGTCACACATTATGTTGCCATGTTATGTTTCCATAGTTACACATTTAAGGAGGTAAGGGAAGGTTCACCTGGGCGTCACATCCAACACGGGACGGATATACCTCGCTATCCATCATCATAATATCCAGCTCTGTATCCGCTCCACCATGACGCGCAATCATCGAATCTGTGGTCTTCCCTGTACCTAACAAGTACTTAAAGGAATCCTTGGATGATGACGTAAATGTGTCCCTGATGGTGCTCCCTCCTGTCGCCATGGTAGCGAAGGTCATTTCCCGTTTGCCTTGAGGGGCAGATATGACCTTCTGGCTCCCCCTGGTGGAGAGATTGCTCCTGTGGGGTCCATACCGCTGTGATTGGGAGGATCCAAGATATCCGTGGAGCGGGGGGAGGGGGTGGAGGGACGTGTAGGAGAGCTCCTGTAGGAAAGTCATCATGGAGGATGGCTAGAAATGGGGGAGGTAAATGTAACAGCATCATTCAGAGATTATACAGTTTATATAGCTAGAAATCAGGGAGGCAAATGTAACAGCTTATTTCATTCAAAGATAATAACAGTTTACATAGCAATGGTAAATATATTATATTTAAGTGCAAAAAAAAATCTAGATTGTAAGAAAATTTAATAAAGAAATGGAATCCTTGATTTTGTATTGATGTTTACCAATGTAAACATTGAGTGGGCATTAAAAATGTTATTTTCAAGAAGCCAACACTGTGTATTTATTGAAAACCAATACATGTGAGGTTTTTTAACAATAAAGGAAGAAATTGAAAAAGTTAAAGTAGGAAAGACCATGAAGACTGCAAAGTTAATGGAGAAGAAAAGAAAGGGGGAAGGACTCCTGACAGCAGTTTGACTTTGTTTTAAAATTGAGATATTCATTTGACCCCTAGGTTTTTTGTGAAGAAACACAGCAATCAGTGAGAAGTCAGGTGTATGATACCTCATCCCTTGTGTTCAAAGAATCTCGGGTCAAAGGTCGCAGTAGTTCTACAGGTAGATTGGGTGTCTCCGAGACTCTAAAATCATCCTCCAGTATCCCGAGCTCAGACATGGCTCGCGAGTTGAGATCAGCAAACTGATCGAACATTGTATCTGGCAGGATGCCAAGCTGTATGGATTCCTCGGTCAGCTGACTGGCCAGGGAGATGATGGTCAAAGTCCGTTCTAACTGGACGTCGGTCAGAATCGGGTCAGAGCTGATCTTCTGTAAGGCACTACGTACGTTTTCCAGGGTCCTGTTCTGCATGGAAGACAGATTTTCTTCTTCTAACATGGACTTCACGTTGTTAACAGCAGCCTCCTGGGAAGGAGGGAGTTCTCTCCCTTCAACAGCTCCGTCAGTGAATCCTGGGGAGGTGCTGAGTACGACCCGACCTTGAGCTGGGGTCACGCGAGGGGTCAGCCAGGCATCTTTATGACCGGATTCGGGGCTTTGAAGAAAACTGTGGGGGGAGTGAACAGACTCCCTACTGCCGCCCTCGGATATTTCTTGTATTGGGAGGGCGTACTGGAGCTGAGACTGTGACCTCAATCCACGACCCCCATTATCTAGAGGTCGCGGGGATCCAACAGGGGTCCTGGGACCAGAATGAATTGCCTAAACAAAGTTTAATTAACCGTAATTTCTTTTACATCTTTCTTAACAAGTTAGTTTAAACTCATTAGCTAGGACTTCACAAAGAAAAAGTTTTTGTAAAAATTAAGATTTGCGGAACATTTTCTTTTTCCAGTCAAATGATGAAAATTTTAAATAAGCAACAGCACTTCAACTTTTTTGTTGTTGTTAAAACAGTAAGCACACCCACTAAACTCTGTAAAATTAAATAATTCAAAAGTTGTTCAATTCATGTTTAATAACAACTCCCTTATAGCAACTAAATCAACAATAAATTACCCCTGAATCTACTTTCACTTTTTTAGCTTTCTTTGGTAAGGACTGAAATGAAATCGGTATTATAAATTCTGAATTCAAACACAGGACCAAGTGGACTGTGTACAAAATAGTTTGCTTGATATATACATGATATAAGCTGTCCAGGTGAAGTTTCATGCTCTGCAATTATTTTCTTTTTATTTGTTCTACTCCTTTTTCTACTGTTTGTACTCTGAATAAATGTTTACCTACTGACTCTGTTTATATAAATATGTAAGTATTATTACATCTATCTAACTGTGCCGATAAAATAATAAGTGCATGTATAAAGAGTATCTAGTACATGTACATGTAACATACATGTACACAATATATTTAATTTGAAAGTTGTCAAAATTGATAATATTTATTAATCAAATTCATGGCTTTACTTGAAGCTTGAATTCATATTGACAAGGCTGAAACATATTATACAAAGATAACTGTGAAAAACTGCATGATGTTTTTTATGTGTTCTATGTGCACACGATACATTTTAATGCATAACATGCTAAAAATATTGAGATATACTGTAAAACTGACTGCACAGAAGCCTCATTCAATATATTTGTAACTTAAAACACAAACAGAAAAGTTACAAGTTTATACACAACAACATCAAATAAGTCTGGAGTATTGAGAAGTCTAACATAAGCTATGGTGTGAGCTCCACAAAGGGAGGTAACTTTTACCTGTCCATCGACCAACAGTTTATAATTATCTGACATGGAAGTCTGTCTGTCCAGCTTGTAAGAATTAAATTCATGTCAACAAAAAGGTTCTTATTATCTATCATCATGAATGTATCAATTTAAAGATAAAAAGATTATATTTTGAATGAGTATGTTTTTTTAAATCACAGAATTCTTGACAAATGCTTAAATTTTCGTAATTTTAAATTAAGAAATATTGAATAATATACAAATACATATTCCCTTTTATTTTAATTCAAATTTGTGACCTATTAATCAATCATATCTCAAAAAGTTATTTTTGCTATTTCATGCTTTTTCCTAAAACAACATATTAGCTCTTCCACCTAACTTTAGAAGAAGACTTTAGATCCCCCCCTGTATTTACCTTTCTGACTTCCTCCACTCTGGGTGAGGGTTCCTGGGGTTCCACTGCCGGCGGGGCTGACATGGCGCCTGACGTTATTCTGGCTTCCGCCTACAACATTGAAGGGAAATTTTAATGGCCAGCTTCCTATGTAACAATCTGATACTCAAATCAGGGTTATAGCAACATTTAAGATTTCAATAATTAAAAAATCATTTTTATTGTTACCAAAAAAATATCTTAATCAATTGTACAGTAGAAATTAAAAGCAGACAGAAAAGCAAAAAAAAATATATCAAAGAAATGAAAAAATAACAAAGATATGGATGTTAAAAATTGTGAGCAAAGGAATTCTTCTTATTTCAAACTGCAAAAAAGTGGCATTAATTAGGTGCTGAGAAAAAAGGACCATATAAAAACATACAAACAAAGATGATATGCATACATCAGCTTTAATTCAGCAAGTTTAATATTTTGAGTGAAATAGCAACAAGAAAAAGAGATGTTTTATTATAATGAAGACGATGACTATAATGACAAAGTGAATCATCATGACATTATTTTAATTCACAATGCATTAATTACAGTACACATATAGACATCACAATTTTTAAGTGTCATTAGGGTTTCAAAGTGAATGTCAATGTTTTGCAGTGATTCTTTTTGTCTCTGTAGTTTATATCAATTTCTTGTGACATACAAATGGGACATATCTTGTGGTAACTTGACGGTTAAACACATTGATCTGTGATTTTGAAGTCCCTGTGAGGGGCCTCAGTTATTTGTGCTGTTATTTTTACACCCTGTGGTGTACCTCAGATCTAAGGTTATCCTCCCTGGTACTCCCCCTCCTCCTCATGTGACCTGGGGCAGTGTCCACCTTACGTGAGGCGTCTACATCCTCCAACGTCATCCTCACCTGGGGCTGTGACCTTGTCCTAGAGACGACCTTCTCCTCAAAACCAAACCCAGACATCCTTCTTCCTCCTTCCTCATCAAACTCCTCATCCGAGTATTCCTCATCAGGAAGATTGAGGATTTCTTCCTCGGACCTGAGCCCTCTGGAGGACAGTGTTGTTTTCCTCGATGTCATCTTGCTGTGATTCCTCAGTCCAGTTGTTCGCCTGGACTCCTCAACCACCTCCTCCTCAATGTCCTCCTCATCTTCCGATCCATCTTCCATTTCTGGTTTGAAGCTAAAGTGGGTGCCTTGTCTGGACTGCTTCTCTGAGAGTCGGGATTTTTCAGAGTTGCGAGATTTTCTCAGACTCTGGTGAGTGTTCTGGAGAGATTCTTTGTCGGCGATGTTTCCACGTGAACTCCTTCTTGAGGTTGCCTTGGAGACAGGGTCGAGTTGTTCTACGTCGTCAATCAGACTTTTACGTCTAGACGAGACTCGTCCCTCTGTGCCTGACCGCTCACTCCTGTCTCGTGATATCTCACTCTTATCTTGAGCTGATATCTGGCTCTTACCTCTGCTTGACAACAAGCTCTTATCGCGACTGGACAGTTGGCCTTCATCCTGAGTTGACATTTTCTGACTTAACTCAGATATCTCAGTCTCAGCACCCTCAGGCTGTAAACTTCTCTGAGACGCCCTCCTAGAAAGGGATTTCAGCCCCGACTCACCGTGAGACAAACTCTTCCTGGACAAAGACCTGGATTTCAAGCTTCTCTGTGACTTTGTCTTGTTTCTAGACAGAGGCTCACTGTCGCTATCTATAGCGTTGTCTTCATCTTCTTCATTCGGGTCTGTCAGCTTAGAAATCTCGGTGTAAAGCCTGTCAGACTTGCTATGCAAGCTGGCTTTAGAGAGCGAGGACTTCCGTTTCTGTTCGTCTGTGTCGTCCTCGGATTGGGAACTGGTGGACTCCAGTCGGTTCTTCCTGGATTTCCCTCTGGATAACAGCCAGGGGGCGATGTCTCCGTCCAGATCCGTGGAGGAGACGCGGCTAGAACTGGATTTCTGTCGCTGGGACTAAAAGTTTGTGGCAGCCATAATCAGAACACATTCTTTTCAATATACCTCATCATGTTTAAAAATTTCATAGAGATAAAGATACATTTTGTAACTTTCGTACTGCATGCATATGCATATGCAGAGTATGCAACATTAATGGAATGTCTGATAAAACTTCAAGATTTCAAATTCTGGTAAAAATATTTGGTAATCAAAATGAATACATTATGTAAGATGTACCCTTTCAATTTTTAAGATCTGTTTCAAAATTGAAAACATAGGTTTTAGTAAAACAACCAATAACTTCTATAGGAAGTTGATAGTAAAAGGAAAACCAACCAGATAAAGTGGCATTCAATACTCCTTGTTTTAATAATATATTCATTATTAAATTGAATTTAAGCATTTGTATTTTTACCTTGGCGTCATCTGTCTGTTGCATCAGATTGGACAGTTCCTGGTCTGTTCCCTCGGTAACCACTTGAGGGGGTGGAGACACCTGTTTGGGGGGAGGGGTCACGACCTTGGGGAGAGGCTGACTGATTCGCCGGGTGATATCTGAGGCCTTAGTCTCCTCTTCCTCCTCCTGAAAAATTATTTTTTGAAAATTTAATTTTAAATTAATCTCCACCTTTTCATATATAGCTTGATTTTTAAGCTATACTGTCTGCATCTCTGATATTGTATTGGTACATTGTCAATATTAATCCATCTTTTCCATGGAATACATTTTGTATGACACATTATAATAACCTGATAACATCCACATGTTAACTAAATAAGATAGGAATATAAATTCAAAGTTTCAAATTTTCAATTCTTTTCACAACTAAATCTCACTTTCTGTCTCATTTTCTCTCAATCAGCCCCAAGCCTTGTATGTAAGGAAATTACTCCACGAAAAAACTCATCCTGATCTTGTCACAAATTCTGCCATTCACTCATTACAACCAAGCTACAGGTGTGAAACTACCCC